GCCGTCACCGAGGCGAACGCGCGCGCGCGTGCGGGGGCGAGCGGGGGCGGGCGCTGGCGCGTCACGACCGCTGCGGGCCGTAGCACTCACGTTTCGCGGGGGAGCTCCCGTGCTTCCTGCGCGGCATCGTGACGTGGGCGGCTGGGGGCCGCTCCTCCGACGATCCTTCTGCTTCTTCTCGTGCTCCTCTAACGCGCGCGCGCGCCGCTTCCGCTGGCGGCTGCCGCTGCGGCGCTGCGCGCTGCTGCGCTGCGCTGGCTAGCAGCGGGGTCGCCGCTGGCGCTGCTGTGTCCTCGCCGCGCGCCTACGCCGTCGACGCGGCCGCTGCTCGCGGGCCGCCGCGCACAGATTCCGACGCAGCACCGGCGGGAGGGGGTTTCCCCGCATTTCCTGGCATCCTAGGGACCGCGCGCGCCCGCGACGTCTCCCCGAGGCTGTGCGGGCACTAGCACCTCGTCATGCCGGCAGCGGAACGCGCGCTCGACCCCACGATCCGCGCTCAAAACGCGCGGCACTCGGAGCGCAACCGATCACGCACTTGCCGCGCGGCAGCAGCGGCCACGACTCGTAACGGCGGCGGTGGCGGCTGCGGCGGTGGGCCCCGGCCGCACCGCACGGCTCATCGTCCTTCGCTCCTCCTCCTCCTCTCCTCTGCGCCGCGATGACGTCAGACCGGCAACTTGACACTGCCGCGCGCGCGGCCGCGACACTCCGGCGCAAACGCCATCTCGCGTTGCCAGGAGCAACTGCCTCCCGCAGGAGCCTGCCGGGATCAATCGGGCGTCGGCTGTGCGGGAAGTGGGAGGCGAGGCCCTTCCCCCTACGGACGGAGATCCTTGGGCGGACGAGCCCTCGCGATCGCCAGCCACAGCTGAATGTTCGGCCGCAACCTCCACGTTTCACCCTTACCAATTTCTTTCTATTGCTTGTTTCTAATAAATTGTTACAAGTTAAGAAAACAGATTCTACAAAAAATTGTTTTACCTAATTGTTAATGTTCTGCAACAATTTATACATTTTATATCCTTATATCGTTAAGGATTTCAGTAATTTAATTTCAAAACGTGATAACCCGAAGAAGAATTTCTCAACGTTTTGTGTTAATTAACAAGCGATATTTCTATTTGTCACTTACATATATAGGTTTTATAAACTATTGTTCGTGGTCATCGACTGACAGATGCCAATCGATTTACTTTTTTTATGTGTAAAACAGTTTCGTTTTCACATTAAAATTATTTTAGTAACACTGCATGTTTGTGAAATGCTGAACAAGTGGGACGACTTGAATACAGGAAGGAAATTAATAATGTTAATAATTAATTCAAAATTCTGATCAAGAAAATTATTTCATTGCCAGCCCCCGCCGTTATAAAAGTCGTGGTTCAGTCGATTGTATCCAAGTCAAAGTCGAAGAGGAGGCAGTTCACGGGAGTTCATTGGTTCATCATTCACACGGGAGTTGGTTCCTTGGTTCGTCGATAGGTCTCGTGGTTAAGCTAGTATTGGTCAGAATCTTGGTTAGCTGCTTTGCGTGAGTTTGCAGAATCTTGTCATATTGGGAGACGCAATGGCGGTTGGTGCAGCTTTATTTGGAAATACGTCTTCTCGGTCGCAGAGCAAGAATTTGGTAGAATGTAAAGCTGGAAAAATGACATTAAAAGGCAAAATGGTTCATCCCGATAAAAGGAAGGGACTTCTTTATGTTTATCAATCGGACGACTCCCTTATGCATTTCTGCTGGAAAGATCGTACTACTGGCACTGTAGAAGATGTAAGTTATTCATTTTTAGTGAAATTTCATTTACGTATATGTGACAAATGCATAGTAATAGTTTTGTTGTTAGAATTTAACGCTACGACTTACCGGCATGATATGACGTGCTTGCATGAATTAGGTTATGTAAGTTTGACACATGGTTCATTGACTAAACTTTTCTAATAATACTTCCTTTTTATTGTTCTTTTAGGATCTTATAATTTTTCCTGATGATTGCGAGTTTAAGAGAGTAACTCAATGTACCACTGGCCGTGTGTACGTGTTAAAGTTCAAATCCTCGAGTAGGAAATTTTTTTTCTGGGTGCAGGTAAGTGTTACAGCAATAAATTTATTATTTTCTCAGGAGGAAATTAATTTTATTAACATTTGTGTAAATTTTAGGAGCCTAAGACTGACAAAGATGAAGAAAACTGCAGAAGAATAAATGAAGTTCTTAATAATCCTCCTACTCCAGGCTCTGCTCGCAGTGGAGGAGCAACACCAGGTATATTCACCCTATTAATTCATTTTTTTAAAAGAGTTCCATGTCTTTGCTGTGAGAAGAATGATGATGCGAGTTCTGTGTGCAGATTCCCCCGTGAGCAGGACATTGAGAAATGTTCTGTCGGCAGATGGAGGTGATTTGCAGAACCTGCTGAACAACATGTCGCAGCAGCAGTTGATGCAGTTATTTGGAGGGGTGGGACAGATTGGCGGACTTTCAAGTTTGCTGGGCACAATGAGGTGTGTTGAGGGATTATTGGATTACTTAACGCCGTGTCACTTGTATATTCAAACTATTTCATATTATTGCTATAAATTTGTGTATCTTCCATAGAGAACTTCCATTGAAAGAATTCAATGTCATCAGTAATCATTAAATGAATTTAAATTTAACAGATTCTTGTTACAAGAGTGTAAGAATGAAGACTTTGCCTCTATACTAATTGGTAATAATTTCTTGGTTCTGTAGTAACTAGTTCAGTGGTTTCTCTGTTGGATATTTATAATTTGGAATAGTTGGTATGATGCCTTCCTAAGAACAATAATTTCAATTGATTCCACAATGTTAACTTATGCTCTAGTATAACTAGTGTATATGGTATGAACATAGGTCTTCCAATATTGGTAATGGATTATTAACATTTCATTTAATTGAAAATGTCAACCCTATATAGTATTAACATAAATTCCATTTTACAACAATTTAAATTACTTCACTTGTTATTCAATTGCAAATTCATAATTACTTATGATAGGTCTAAGTATGACCTAAACTTGTTACGACAGACGATGCAAGGGAGCAGGCTACCTCGCTTATAGGAATGAGTGCTCTCTTAAGACCTCACTCAAGGGTTGTTTATGAATACGATTCATCCACTTAAGGGAACACTCAATGGAAGTGACAACTATGAATTCAGCCCTTAGGAGTTATTTTACTACATAGATTTTAACAATGCTGTCAGTGTTACAGATTGTATCTGGGCTGATATATAGTTCCCCCCTCTTTTTTTTTGTTGTTTTTTCTTTCATGGTTTTCTTTTCAATAAATCCTTCATATTTTGAAAGTCAGGAGTACAATTCTTCATGTCTCCATGAAATTGGCATTTATTAGAGACTTATTTATAAAGATTGATTTGGTGCGTGAGCTGCGAAACTCATCTGTACTACTGAAATATTAGGAGACTATTCTTTAAATTATGGAGACACTTAGTTTACATGAAGCCTCGGGCATGATTTCCAAACTTTTCGCAAATGTGGCTTAGTTTTTCTTTAAATTTCTTGTTAGAATAGGGTAAAATACAGCTATAAAGATGGTGTAAGATTTTCACTGTTAACTAAATTTTTTGAAAATTATAAAAGTTTTAATTTTTTTCAGCATTTTTCTACAAAGTTGAAGATAACAATTTTGCCTTTAAATAAAAATATGCTATCTATAATTAGTTCATCAATTTTACTAGTTTTAGCATAATTTTGAGTGAAACATGGGCAATGTTAAAAACAAGATTTTTTCAGAAGCAACTCCAAATTTTGTCTTTTAAACTTTTTGTAGGCTAGTGTTAAATATACTGTAATAAGTGACATTTTGCTGTATTTTCATTTTTTGAGAATCAAACATGGCTAGTTTTTTATCTCTTGCGGTTATTCATATTTTCTTTACCAGTAATTTGTGTTGTAAGTTTTTCAAATTATATCTTAGAAAGTTTCTCCAAACTATTTTCTGTGATAATGAGCTCAAAATTCTACATTTTCTCACAAATTGCTCAAAACTTTCTGTTCTGATAATTCTATATGCAGTAGGTAAAGACGTTATCACCATTTTCATTTATTGATTTTTTTCAAAATTACACTAATGTAATTTTTTTAAAATATGTTTTGTGAAGTTAACGTGTATATTGAGGACTTTTTAATATATTATTGCGATTGTGGGTAGAAGTGGTTCAAATAATTTCCATTGATGTTTCTTATAAGCTCAAATGTTTTCTCAATAAAATCTCCAAATTATTCAATGACAATTTGCATACAGGACCAGATATTACTCTCGTATAAAGACCTATTTCTATTTTACCATTAGCAGATAGCATAATGTACAAAATGTGATAAAACGACTTTTAGAAAGCAATGGATGGGTAACTGGAAAGAGTGCAGAGCAAAACCGAAAAGCTAGCTCAAACTAAAGAGATTAGAAACATAAGAGTATGAATATAGTAGAGAAATTAATGAGAGTATGAGAGTCTATGCAATTATGTTGAACGATTACTTTAAACTGCTTTGCTTAGCTTTTAAAGGTATACTGTATTTGCTTCTAATGGTTATATATTATCACTCTCTGCAAAGTGCAGTAAAGCTAGTTTTACTCTTTTCTTCCCAGGTCTTTTCCCTACTATTTTAATCTGGATGTGATTATACCTCATGGGTTGTTTTTTATGTGATTTGTTATTTGATACTAAGGAGATCCTTTGTTTTCAGCCGCCCTTCAACTAGCCAAAGTGGTCGCTCAGGAGCTTCTGCAAGCACAACAGCAGCAACTGCTACCACCTCTTCATCTACCAGTTCTGTGGCTTCAGCTGGCAGCACTGACACAAAGACTTCCACTACAGCTGCAACCGCAGAACCTAAGACTACCTCTACTACTACTGCGACAACCACGTCTACGTCTGCTGCTGCTGTAACTACAACAACTGTTGCAACTTCAGCCCCTACAACTACTACTGCTGCTGTTCCTACCAGCACTTCTAGCGGTTAGTTAACTTTCGCCTTGGTGGCACTAAAGTAGAATAAAGCTACATTTAATTGTGGGTTCATGACTTTGAGTGAAGTCTGGGGCAAAAAATGTTGACCACAGTAAAATATATTCACACAGATTCAGACACAACACGTAGTTTGAATCTTAAATCAAAATACTGTTATAACACAATATTTGAGGAGTTTCATAATGAAAGAAACTCATTCCATTTGTGAAAACTCGAAAGAAGGGGAATTATCTTCTCGCATTCACACAGGGTTAGATACAACACGATTAATCATCATTATATTTATACCGTAATATTATAGAATAAATTAACACTGAAATTAAAATATCAAATTTTTGAAGTGTCAAGTTACTATAATTGCTGCTCAACAAAAACGCACAAGTTTTCTGAAAATGCATGCTCACTACCAAAGAACAAGTAAAATAATCTGATCTCTGATTTTAGTGAAGCTAACTAGTAGGGACTAACATTTTTGATTCATTATATCCAACATCAAAATTAAATAGAATTTCTCCACAATTATTGATTTCATTAATACAGAGATACAGCAAAATACATTAACAAACTGAAAATTTCAATATAATTATTTGTTCTTAAAAAATCAATTGTTTGCTTCATAGATTTTTTAAGTTGTAATTTATCTAGATCCTTCTTCAGAGTTTTGTGCTCTCTTCATTCTTGATTCTGCATTGTCCACTGTAATGTATTGTAATGCACTCTTGGCACCATTAAGTGTCTCTGCCACTTGGAACACAGTCTCCCTCCTCAAAGCCCCTTTTCCTTGCCTAATAACATATCCTTTTGGTAGCAGAATGACACAAGCAACTAATGACACTGATCACTTTCATGTTGTTCAGGGGATGTCGCCAGGCTATGGGGCTGTGGCAATCTTGCACTTTTTAACACCTTTGTATAACACTGCCCTTTTTCCCGTGGAATATAACACTGAGCTTGAAACTTTTTGCAAACAATTTGTACATCCCACCACCAGATGTAGCCAGTGCAGAGCAAGGCCTTTGTTTCCGCATTGAAACAAAGGCTTAAGGTCATCAATATTCACCATTCCAGGTCCACTACTTTCACCTCGGGGGAGATTTCTTTGATTATGACCTTATGTCAATGAAATTGTTTCCAAGCTGCCTGATTTTGGAATTTATGGAACTGAGATGATTTTTCTAGGACAGAATTAATTTTCAGGCTGTTGTATTTCCTATGTTCACAAAAGCCGAGATTCATGTTCACTATAACCGAATCTTCTTACGCTTATTTGTCATGTAAGTAAAATGGGACTAGTGACTTAAGTCACTCTATCAGAGTTCACTATAACTACTATTAACCCAGAATAAATTCAAATATAATTGAAGGATCATTTTATATATTTAGGAACTAATTGGGTGGTGTTTTTAGCAATAAATTACAGTCATTTTCTACTTTTTTAAAAGATTTTCAGTTTTTGAGGAAACTTCATGGCAAATATATTTTGAACTTTTTTGGGGTTTATAGTTCATTTCACTGGGACACAAATTGCCGTAGTCCTTTTTTGAAGAACTAATGCAATGTTCACTATATTGTTCCAATTGTACAACTGTTGTTAATGTCAACAGATTCTAAAATAAAATTGTAATACATTGCAGGTCTGGCAGTAAAAGTATCCTGGAGTTTTCAGAAAGCAATTATACTTAGTGATCATTTAGGATTTTTCACTGAAAAAACATCACTAAAAATGGACATGATTTTCTCTTATTTTCAACAGTTCCTTCATTTTAATTCACCCATTTTAAGAAAACCCTAAATTGCTTAGAAAGTAACGAAAGTTTATAATTCTCTGTATCTAAATAAATCTTCACCTTTCACAATGTTCATTTTTTCGAATAAAACTTTGATACCATGTGCATCAGATAACAAGGCATTTTAGTTAACCAAAAAACCTACCACACTTCTCCATCATTTTTTGTGTAATTTTAAACAAAGTGAAGAATTATTTAGATACAGAGAATTAGAATTTGTCTCTATATTTTAAGTAATCTAGAAAGTAATAAATTGAGTTGAATTTTTAAATATAAATCCTTATTGGTTGTGTACGGTTATGTAATTTGTTGTGAACTTTGCTTCTTTGCTGTAACAACACTACTAGGTTTAAAGAATTTCTTCAATTTTTTTTTAAATATCCAATTAGTGTTAAAAAAACAACTTATCACTAAGAGTTCAGAGAGTTCTAACAATAAAAGTTCTAAATTATGAAACAGTAACTCCTCTCACAAATTACGATAGGAAAACAAATTGAGCTTGTCCTTCTTCCATTGTCATCCCTCCCCAAATTGGTATGCGACTATTAATATTTTCTTCTATTAACTGCTCTTGTGATATCTTATCTATCTGATAATATGCCCGTTAAATTTATTGCAACTTTATTACGCAGTAGGTGAAAAGAAATGGGAAATATTTCTTGCAGGTGGACAGCCAGCAATCCAACTGAGCGATTTACAGAATTTCTTGTCGGGACTTTCTGCTCCTCAGCCTGGTGGGCAAGGTTCAGGTGAGAATTTTTCAATTTTTATTTTTTGGGACTTGAAAGTAATGGTTGTGGACAAACATTGGTGTTTCCCATTAATTTGTCATAGTTCTTTATGTCTTCAATAGTCAGCAATAAATAAATTGTTGGGGTTTTTTTGGTTTGGATATTTTAAGAGTACTTAAAAGCAGGAAGGTTTTCATCTTGATCTCCACATTTTTATTAAAATAACTATAATGATTGAACTTCAAATATCAGTGCATATTGTTAAGTTTTCAATTTTGATGCACAATTCCTTCCATACACACTCTTCCTCAGAGTGGATGAAATAGATTTTAGATTAAATATAGAAGGTTTTGATACTAAAAATTCAGCAATCACACTTTCAACCCACATTACACACAATCATCGTGTGGGTTATAGCTTCTTAAAACCCTGCTTTAGGGTTCTCAAGGGGGTTCAGATTTACATTTTTTAGATTTTAATCCCCCAAGAGAAGTATTTTCTTGCTTTTATAGAGGGGTACTTGTGGGTAACCCTATATTGTTGCAAATAGTCAAAAACCTGCAGGATCTTGAAAATTTTGTTTTAAATTAAATGTGTGAAAATATAAGTAAATTATCCAATTTTTGTGCTTTGAACTTCGTTAAAAATCATTTGGGAGAGTTAGAATGTTTACTTGCCAATGATACTGGCCCTACATGTTGCAATTTACCCTTCGGTGTTTTGCTGATGGAAATTAGGTTCCAGATGAAGGTATTGTAAGATTTGAAACGATCATTAATTAAGAGCACAAGGGACCTAGAAGAAATTGTATGAATCACAGGAAGGTGTAAATTGTGCACAAATTCTTTTGCTTATTAATGACCGTGCAGAACATATATTATTCTACTTTCATTAATAATAATAACCTTAATGAGAAAATATTGAATTTTTGGAGACGCTGGAGTTCAAAATAGACAAATTCTACTGTTTGTTGAAATGTGAGACACTTTTAACAATTTTTATCCCACATAATTTATTGTTTTTGTTAATTACTGATTGATTACAACCATAAAGAATATAAATTTAACTTATATACTATTTCTTCTAGTTCAGGTTGTAGATATTGATGCCTAGAATATTTGTGGAAAATTACAAACAAATTGCTTACATTAGTTTCATTATCTTCAATATACATTTGTAAATGTCCATTTTCAGAAGTTTTAAAGTGAATGTTGCTAATAAGCACATAATGGATTTCAGTGGTACAAAAGTAATAGTTTTCCTTCAAGATTATTTCTATTTGTATTAACTTTGAAATAATCGATCTGTCTTGGTGAAAGTTTCTCATATATGAAAATAATTGTCTTTGAATGTTGTAGTTTGTTTTTGAGGTATGAATTATTTGAGCCGAGTTAGTTGTATAATGACATCTTTCACATATTTTGAAATGAATTTCATCAGTTTTAGCAAATTAAAATCTTTGATTTATCACCTCTATGCTGTTACTAATCAGGTTGTCTAGCCATTGAAGAATACTTAATTTCAATTTTTGGAAACTTTGACATTTTGAGGTTTATGGCAGGGAGCTAAACTTTGTTGGAAGGTCCTGGTTTTCACCTTGCCACATCATTTTATAATGGGAATAATACTCCCTTCAACAGCCGAGAAATATTTTCAACTTCATCATACCAGTGTTGGGCACAAAATGCATTGAAGTACATACTTGCAAGAAACCTTGAAAAACAGTCCAGGACTTGGTATTTTGTGACTATTTTAACTGTCCGATTAAAGTTCTTCGAAAATAAATTTTCAGCTTCTGCCTCACGAATTAGTTCTAGCTCTTTTTGAGGTTGTTCTCCTTCCAGGGCCACGGCTATATTGTGGCATGCGTAGTATTGATACATGTGGCCCCAGGAATGTTTGTTTCTCTCCAGGCCATTGTGATAAAACTACCCATATTGCATATTTAAATGATACAAAAGTCTTAAGTATGAATTAAGTTAATGTTAAGTTAATACTTGTCATCAGCATGTTTATTTGGTATTCTACAACAGTTTCTCATCACTGTTTTTTTAAAATAATGGTCACATTCTATAACTCGACTGAAAGTAATCTAAATTTTCAAAATTAAATATAATCCAACTTTCACCCTCTTTCATTGTTATTAATGGATCATAACTAGCTCATATAACATTTGAAAGCACCATTTTAATTCATATGCCAAAGAAGGACAGGGTGTGTATGAAAATTACACTGATTGTGTTCAGTGTTTAAAAAGAGTTTCTTACCAAAAAACACCTGTTCCCAATCTTTGTGTCAATTTTTAAAATTTTCTTGATCCATCTCATCATATCTACATTTTGTTGCCTGCACTTTTTAGTCTGCACTAAATGACACCTAGATTCAGGAAGATGTTACTGAACTACATAATCATGAAAATGATTTACCAAAAGCACAAATGATTTTTGTAGTTTGACACTGAATACCAGCTGCTTTCTTTCAATTTCCTGAGCAAAATTGAATTACACCTGCTGCTATCTTTATGCTTTCTATCACATTTTTTTACAATTTGTTGCATAGATCCCTTTTAATGGTAGAGAACATTGTTTGTGCATGCGAGGAAAGTATTAGAACAGTATGAACACAGTCACTTCATATCATGTACAGGTGATGAGTAAATGTAACAATCTTCTTTGTATTCATTAGTAATTCATTCATTAGTAACTACCACGATCAGAACATACTGTTAACTGCAAGCAAAATTTAGTTTCACAAAGATTATTCTCAAACTACTACAACTGACTGCATGCAACAGTAATACAAATTATTAAAAACCAAAGATTACGAAAAATTCATTTTTCATAGCGTTTCTGTTTTTAATTAACATATAATGTATTTGTAGACGGAATGCGCAGAAATCGTATTTATGCAAGATTATAAGCTCTAAATCTTTATTTTGACAGCTGGTTAAGAGTACTTTTTCTGACACTAAATTTTGTGCATTTTAATAATATTAATGTGCATATTATATAATAATTAATATGCATGAAGAAATTGTGTAATGGGCATCTGGCATTTATTCTTAGTATTCTGGATATTGGATTGTTGTTAATAATAACACAGTCAGGTGTGTGTTATCTAGCATTGAGGAGTTCCTTTTCCTCCCCCTTTGCAGCAAAACCCTATTACTTTTTATATACATGAAATTGCCCAGTGAAAAGATGGAGAGGAAACTAATGAGAGTCAAGAAATGGATCTTTTTGAGGTATTGATGCAATTGCTTAGAGATTTTGAATTACTTACTTAAAATGAAATGCAATCTTATTAAAACATGTTATGGTCAGAACACATTCAAGCAATCTGATTTGGTTTAAAGCGAAGAAGTCCTGAGCTATTTGAAAAAGCAGGGAGAATGATTTAGGTAATTTACCTTCATTAAACCATGTATTGTATGATATAAAAGAAATTTATATGACAATTATTCAAATGCATAAATATAATAGTTTTTGAACTACTGTAATGGAAAATGATTTTCAATCTTTACATACTACTTTCTCAAATTAAAGTTAAAGTGATTCTTAATATTTTTTCCTCTGACCCTTCAAATAAAACAAATATTCTTTGCCCAACAAGGCAAAATTTGTTTCCTAAATCTAACTGTAATATTGTTCAAATTTTAAAATCATCTGGATGTTCGAAAAATTGTTTGTGCGTAGTTGACCTGGTGTTAACATCTGAAGATCGTGCTAGATTTTTTAAAATATTATCATTATTATATTTATATTATTATTGTTCTTTCGTCTGATGGATTTGTTCTATAGGCAATGTTTTTAAGAATTATCTTACACTTCATGTGTTATTTAAGTCACCTATCTTTTTTTTTTCTCCCTCCTCCTCCTAAAGTAATCTTATATATTTTTTGTCTTATCTTTTCTAATACGTATAGTGGAATTTCCAGCAACTTATTTTCTCATGAGGCATTGTTGAAATTTTCTTCTGTGCCTTCGAGAAGTAATACATTCCTTGGGCTTTAAATTCACTTTCCTCCATTTAGTTTTTATCAATTCTTACTTTCAACTATTGTGCTCCTTCCACAAATTATTCTTAATTATTCCCTTTATTCTCTAAAATATTTGGATTTCTCTTTTCTTTTCTGTGGAGTTTTGCCCTTCAATGTTGCCCATCTAATAAAATCAAATTTATTTTATTTTTCTTCCTTCTAAGACTAGAAATTCTTTTAATTTATGTATCTTAATATAATTGTGATGAGACCTTGTGTATAGTATTTGTAATAATAATGCCAGTGCTTGGTTCATTTGCTCCAATTCACACATTTTTCAATGATGTTAAATCTTTAAAATGTGCCCTAACAAAAATTAAACCCAAAATTTGCTGAATCATATTAAAATGCTGGTCCAGCAGCAAAAATAGTGCTGAGGAAAACCACACAACAGTGGTTTTTCCGAATGGTGCATGAATATGGCTCGTGAACTGTAAATAAATGTTTTTGTAGTACCCTGCAATAAAACAAAAACAGTATATGTGTATTATTTCTGAGATCTTGGATATCAAAGAAACCCATCGACACCTCTTGCATGACCCATTGTTTTTTGTTTACTCTGTTTCTGTGCACATATAAAATTAGTGATAAAGATAGTTGTATCAAAGACAAAAACCATTTTCTTGAAGAAACAATGTACCCAATTTTCTCATGAACCCTTTTGGTTTGTTTATAAATTTAGAATGTGTCCATGATACTCTGCACACTGATCATTGTCTTTACGATTGAGATCAGAATACAGAATATGCAATGCATATGTACTGGAGGACTTGAATCAAAATCGATACATTTTATCTAAATGCGAGAAATGTAGTGTGAGAATAAATTATAACAAAACATTGAAGCAATCTTACCTTGTTTTAAAACTCTGAATTATTATAAAAATGTAATTTTGACAAATTACTCGAACAAATTTTGTGTTTTTTAAAGTTACAGTAAATCTTAGAAATTTTTGAAAGAACTTAGAATATTACTGATATTGTTATTGAAATTGTTAAAAGAAACTTAGAATATTATTGAAATTGTTGAAAGAAACGTACAATATTATTGAAATTTTTTAATTGTGAAAATTCTTGGTTCATAATGGATTGATTGAATGTTGCTGCAATATTGATGTGGAAATACGGAAAGGTTCTCCCCACATCTGTAAATCATGAATAATACAATCCTACAAATGATGTGCATTGACCTTATTTATTGTAATAAAATTATTGCATTGACCAAATAGCTTTATTTTTAAAACTACAAAGGACTGTATAATTGAAGGAATATTCATGTTATTGAATTGCATAATTCTTCTCTTGTGTTAAGGAGTGGACTTGGCCCAGGCAATCACTACAGACAATTTGTCAACTGTGTTGGTGGAGCCTGGTCTTGCTGAGGCTTTGCAACAGCACCTCCCAGCTGTTGCAGCTATTGCTGGCTCTGGAGCAGGTCAGACTGCATCTGACCAGCTGCGATCAACTCTCTCTTCTCCACAGTTCCAGCAGGTGAGTCTAGCAGAGAGTCTACCCCTGTGCCGTGAAGTCAGCTGTCTAGTTGTACATTTGTCATAATGATAATTGGAAAGTGTGTGTTAAATGTTTTGAATTATTTTATGGATAGAAAGTTATTTATTTGTAATATCAACCAATGGGATTTTATTGAGTTAAGTTGATTGTCCAGCATGCATGATGCCTTGGATTCCATATCTGAAGGGATTGTTAAAAGGTGGAATTTCATTTCTGAGAGGGGTGCAGGTGGTGATTTGTAATTTGGGAACGGCTGATAGTTAATGAAATATTCACCATCTTTACTGAGGTATAGTAAAGAGAACTGACCACAGTCCATTCAAAATTGGCCTGCTATTCTATGTTGTGAAGTGTCAGTTTTGTATAGATAACAAAGAAGAAAATAAACATTTAATCAATAACGTAATGAACATGACTAAACAACATGCATACATTAAATATTAACATTTATTGTTGCCTTCTTTTCATAGTTGCAGAACCAACATTTCATCATGCATGACATCATTTATATCCAGCTCAGTGTGTCCACATTAGGCTGTTAAATGAACATATCTTGGTCTTCTCACAATGATTATCAAGTTCGTGTTCTTTCTTATGCATGAAACACAGTGTTCTTGAATGATAAGGAGGTCCTCCTTGCAGTATTCAGCGTCTCTCCTGACAATGAAAACTAATTATGTCCAAGCAAAAAAACATTACAGAACTTACTATTTTTAAGGTTTATTTACCAAAACAACGAAAAATTCAGTGTACATAGCTTTTTCATGTGTACATAGCTCAAAATACATAGCTTTTTCACCAAACAAGTACTGTTTCCACTATTACATAAATGAACGGTTTATAATTCCGGTATTTTGCAACTTTTGAATCTCAACAAAATTTTGTAATTTGACACAATCTATTTTCATGAAAAATTAAGATTTGAAAGTCATCAGTATAAATTAACTTGTTTGGCAATATTTTGTGAGAAAATAAGTAAAGACTATTTATTCTTGTACTTTTTCCAGAAATTAGGTGGACAAGTCTGAAACGACTAAATAAAAAAAATTAAAAATAAATCTGTAATAGATGGATTTCACTGTGCTACTTATGCATTATAAAAGAACATGTGAATATGCTAGTAACTCCTTCAAAATCAGAAGTAATAGTAAAGGTGTTCTAAAGATAAAATAGTGTCTTGGGTCGTTCCCAGTTTTTGGCTTATTACTGCTTGGCGAGAAGGGGGGAGGGGGTCATACAGTAAATATTTCTAGAAATTCAAGATAGTTTTGGAGGACAAGTTTATCAGTGTGCATTAGACAGTTGACGTAAGGACTGGAAGACTGGCAGAAATGTGCAGTAAAGTATGCTAGAGAAATTAATACTATTCAATAATGACAAAATATTTTCTACTGATTATTCTTGCTATTGTAGACATTTTGTCGAAGCTTTGAAGATTGTTTCATTTTTTCTGAGGAATCTATGTTGCATAAATAAGTGAAGAGTAATTTGCCATAACATTTTTTGTAAGTGCAGAATGTTTCATCACTGCAAACATTTATACTAAAAAAAAATGTATACCAACATCTGCTGTTCATAAGCTGAGATGGCTCATCGAAAGCTACTATTGAAATAAATAATATTGTTGGCAATGATAACTCCTATAATTATTTAATTTTAAATGCCAACAACTCACTCGAAAACCAATATGCTGTTCAAAAATTTGTGGGATTAATTTTTTTCTCAAATATTGTTCTTAAAATTGTTAAAGAAGCGATTCAAAATTATGTCATTTTCAAACAAGAAATATTTGTGGAAACCTTTGTTTATTTCTGTAATTACATTTACTTTTCTGATATTTTTGTTTTGAAAGAGCTCCTTGGGAAAGAGTTTAATTAATTTTGTGTAATCAGCTATTCATCTTCAGGAAAAAAGAAAGTGATCTTTGAAAGTTTAATCAAAATTCATTAAAATTTCATGATCTTGAATAATGTTATTCAATCTAAGAAATAGCCTCAATGGTGTTTAATGTGCCTTCAAAATTTAAGAGGGGAAAAGTACATTTCCCTTTTGTCGCTAATGTAAAACAAATACACGTTTTGCTTCTGTTCTTGATGTGTCTAATTCATTTAATTTGTTTTTTGAGACTAGTATGTATTTAAGGAGTACCAACCATGTCTTTTATTGTCCAGTCGTTTTAACATATGAGAAAAAGCTTAAAAACTTATTCCTTGTGTGTCTATTTTTTGTCTAACTACAATTTTGTCAGTTTACATTAACTTATACTAATCAAGATTTGTAACAAAATTCGATTTTCAATTGATGTGCCATGTTGCTAATGTTGTAGGATGGCTTTTGCACAAAACTATTGTGAATTTGGGTGTGCCGCATGGATGAGTGTGTTTGGACGTGTGGAAGTTGTTATTTTTGTTCATTTTGTTGTCTTTAGTTACAATGTAAACTTAATTTTGTGCCTTTTCTAAAGGTAAATACAGTCCATCTCTAACTTAAAAAAATCATTGTTAGGTTTTAATAAGCCGTTTTCTATCGAAAGTTCTACTGTTGCTTTTTGATGTAACAGTGTTTTACAAATTGTTTGATATTGAATTTTTTGCATAGGTGTGATTTTATTTCAATGCAATGCTAATCAACAGTTGTGTGTAGTTGTGCATGAAACAATGAAATGTTTCTCAGAGTAATATTAACATAATATTTTGATTCATAATTGGATGTGCTGTGTGGGGAAATAAATTCTCGCTTTGTGGTTATTCTGGGTTAATCTTATTATTCCCTATCCTTAAAAGAGAATACAGAAGAGTTTATATTATATTGGCTGAAATAATAGTAAAAATAAGTAATAGCAAGTCATCTTGGTTTAGAACTGATGCATGTTGATGTATTTTTAAAGGGAGACATGTGAAGACTAATTTTTTAACTTGTCTGTTCCAGTAGATTTCACATTAGACCGGACTTCATCCACTTGCCTTATCATAAATGTCTTTAAATTTTTGAGAATTTATCATTTTAATACAAAAGTAACTTGTTCAAACTAGTGTTAACTGATGTCTTAAAGATATTACATATACACTTTGATAGGTTTTGTTCTTGGCTATTTATTTAATCGTGTGAAATCTTATGAAATTTGTTATCTGTGCGTGTTCAGTTATTTCTGTTTTGTTTCTTCTGGGATTGCTTTTTTCTATAAAAAGGTTTTAACTGTAATATGCTCAAATTATAAATGTTGAAGCAGGATGGATGTATTTGCATTTGTCTCATGGCCTGCTCGTCTGATGCATGAGGCTGTTCGGACGGTGTGTGAATGGGGTTGATTGAGGGGGAGTGCGTGTGTGTGCAGGCGCTGAGCATGTTCAGTGCTGCCCTGCAGTCCGGCCAGCTGGGCCCTGTGATGCAGCAGCTGGAGGTGGGTCCGGAGGCAGTGGACGCTGCCAACCAGGGCAACATGGAGGAGTTTGTTCGAGCTCTGCAGCGGGCCAGCCTGGGCTCTCAGCCGGACACTCCGCAGTCCCCGATCAGTGGTGGAGGAGAAGAAAAGCGCCCCAAGCGTGATGGAGACAACAGTGGAAAGAAACCTGATGACGATGACGATGAGGGCATGTCAATGGACTGAGGCTAGGCCACCTGCTTGCTTCTTATATATTGCTAATGATATAATACTTGCAGGTTCTAAAGAAAAGTCTCGCTATACATAGAGTACCTTCACTTGCATTCAGGTCACTTTTTTCCTAGTAGAACTTCTTTGCTCAGAGCAAGAATTACATCATAAAAGAAGAGCAATATACATCAGTGCAATACACATCTTTTAATAATTGCATAATAACGGTGTGCATTTGCACTTTAATTACTTTTGTTCCATGAATAATCTTGTTGGTGCTGATAATTTACTAGCATTGACTTCTTTTGATATAATGATCTCCATAGCTTCAGGTATACCCTGTTAATTGTTCAATTTGAAGTTGTTATAATACAAAATTTGGCTTGCAGGAATATTGTTTCATTTATTGAAAGCTTTTGTGTAGTTAGAACCCCCCCCTTATTACAATCATGTTATATTCCTTACGTACATTGCCCTGGTTCCTTGCTAAATATTCCCCTCATTTTTTTTAGTATGTAATGACTATGAAAGAATTGTATATTGTATTGATCTGTAATAATGTCAAGGTTGATAAACTGTCAGAATATTGCAAGAAGTAATATCAAGTGACACATGGTTTACAATGATTTCTTGTTTTAAAATTGTTAATGTGTGTGTGTGGCGAATTACCCGTGTATTGTGAAAATAAATTATTACGTTTTTTTCACTTTGAGATAAATAGCTTAATGTTGCATTTGCGCATGTGCATTGTCAAGGTCACGAGAGTGGGCGTGCTGCCCGGTGAAACGCGTATGTCATGTGGCGGAAAGAGAAGAGAAGCGGAATGACCTTGCCAATTAAGTTTTTCGATACTGCCATCGTTCAGTTCGTAGATATCGGTAGCCGATCTGTGTACAGAATAGACATGGCGTAAACAAAGTGGTTTAAATGGCTGTGCAATTTTCCTTCTCGATTGACGTCATAACACGTGTTTTCTGGTAATATCTGCTTCATATGGCGGGAACCAATCGCGTGCGGGGATTAGGGAGATGGTTCCAGCCAAACAGAGTTCGCGTGGAGAAGTGCGTGTACAGGTGCTCGCTATGAAGGGAACGGTAGCGCCTTATTTGTTAGGAGGGTTTGTGGGATATTTCATAAAATGGTGTGGAATCGACGACGGCATTAATTTTTTGAAATTAAAGTGATGTGCTTACGCTATGATTATCACGTCGTGTATGTCTATATCATTGCAACGAAATCTTTTTTCCGGAGCGGCAAATGACTGTCACACATTAAAGGGATTTAGTTGGAACAGCTGGGTAGTGGGAGAGTGTGTCAACAAATAGGCACAAGTGCATCGTGGGCGGTGCTTCGAAGAGCTGCTTGTGTTAGGGCGAAAGATTGTGCGTAATTGTGTTTTTATGACTGTAGAGCCGGTGTATACAAACAAGCGAGTGAAGAGGGATTGGTGTTATCGATTGAAGGGCCTGTGAGAGCGAAAGCGCTGCAGCCATGCTTTCCGGAGACGAAAGGAATGGTGGTTAGGGTCCAGATAGCACATACAACTGAAACGCATTACCACCATGTTGTAATATCCCTCTTTAGTATGCACCTGACAAAGTACAGCCGTAAAGTAGCGAAATATTCTTCGCCGTAGAAAAGAACAGTAAGTAAATGTCATCCAACCTGTTTGTGTGTGTGTCGAAATATGTTTGTGTTTTGTAGAAAATAAACAACGACCTTGGAGTTCCCAATGTCGCCGTAGCGTAGGTCAAGCCCGGGTTATTGATGTAGCTTTCGCCTCACTGAATGTCATTGTCAAGGATGTGCCGAAAATAAAATAAGAATTGACCTGTAGTGAGAAATACGAAATATTTAGAGAAGGATTATTGAATGTTCTGGGAAGTGTTGAAATGACGCCACGGACAAAGTAGTCCCAAGTAAGTTGTTTACCATTCCTTTTTTCTCGCGTCTTCCAAAAATGGTTGCCCATGTAAACAAAACACAGTAATTATTCTAGCGAGTGTCACAAAGATTTGAAAGTAAAGTGTTGTTTTTTTTGAAAGGAATTTGTGAATTAGGGTGTCGTGGAATTAAAAATAATTGGTATTGCGAATTCATTTTCTTTTATTAAATACTAAATTACATATAACATAAATTAATTACATTTTATTCAACTGGCTTGATTGTGATGAACCTGGAAAGTAAGAATGCAACCATTATAGTACCTGCAACAAAGCAGGCCACAAATATGTACCACGTATCTTCATCAAATATATCTGTGAAAGCTGGCACTTGGCCATAAATGGTATCGATTAATTTGAGATTGTATGCTTTGTGGGCCATTGTAAAGCTTTATTTTCTTCTTGATCCTTTTGTTTTAGATGCTTTTGTAACAATGGCAATGGAAGCTTCTTCTGGGGGAGGGGCTAAAGGTGTTATGTGTTTGTTGTACAACTGAAGTAGCTCCAAGGTAGTCAGATTTCCCGCTTTGAATATTACTTTCTCACCGTTTCCTAGAAAAATAATAGTTGTTAGTCTTGTGTACCTTTAGATCCAGGCAATTTGACAATCGTGGATCCAGAAGATACTTTTATAATTCACATTTTCAATTTAAATCTTCGTACACATTAACTGAAGACTCAGGTCAACAAATTCTATATCCGATTTCATTAAAATTTGGATATTTTCAAGAATGACATTTCTGGATCCATGTCTAAGAGTAGTTGCATACTCACTTAATTTGAACTCAACATTTGGATCACTCCTATCACTTAAAATTTCTGTTTTGATTACACACTCAGGATTTGTTTCTCTTACTTTTGGCAATGTAATGTGGAAAAGAAAATTCCTGTAAAATTAAAAATATTGATGAAATCAATGTTCTTAAAATCAAAGACAATACATTTATGTTATTTCAGATTGTCACAAATGGCTACTGAAAGAGCAAAATTACCCGTCCCTGGACCCGATTTGCACTCGGGCAGGAGGGAAACAACCACCCTAACAATGTTAGGTAAAACTTATGGCTGTGGCCAATGTGGAGGTAAGTATCAAAACGAACTGTGAATATTCCTTACAAAAATAAGCGAGGAAGTTTGAAAGTTGCATATGAGAGATACGAAATGAAGGATGGTGCTGTCGAGAAAGTTTCGTGAGTTAGTACCGAAAGCAAAAGTGATCTGTCATTCACCTCGCAAATAAATTCCGAAATTTTACCTTTCTTGGTGAGTATCTACCACGTGCACACTAAAATTTGAATAATGGTGCACTGAGTAGAATACATTCCCGAACTACCCAGACTCCTCCGCACGAAACGCAATAAAGTTCCTGGGGCTACTTTAAGCCTAGCCAAATTATCGACTTTTCTCGGGACCTGGGTCAGCCAGGAACACGCGCACTGCGCGCCTCTGACGTCACGTTCTGAAAGCGAAACTTACCGTGTCTCAGAAGCTTTACTGCCAAAAGGATCAAACTTTATTGCTATCCTTCCCACAGGTTTTAGATTAAGTAATCGCAACTGTTTATGAATAGCATCTATAATGCCCCTTGATCGCCCGAGCGTTCCTGAAAACGGGACAGACATTTTGGTACTGATCAGTTGTGCTTCGGTATTGCCAACGTACCGGAGAAAGGTATTCGTGCATTTACTCCCAAATTTAATTGGATGAATTAGTTCCCCATTGTTTAAAATTTCTCTCTGAACGCGTTGTAAATTATTAAATTATGTCGAAATTATGGAATTGTATCATTTGTTTCTTCACAATTTCTAGAAACTTACGTAGTTGTGAAATTATTTACAACTATTAATTATGTATTTTACAAGCAAGTATATGTCTACTGTGAAATACCGAAAATTTCTGAAGTTTGCTTAATTTCGACAAACAACAACTCTATTTTTGATGACTCCCTCAAAAAATTGCACGCGAAATGTGTGTTGGATGTACTGAAGGCATCATGTCCGCTGTAAATTTACGTCATCGAACGCCATGTTAAAATCATCGCGGAGAGGTTGCTAAGTTGGGGGGGATAATTTCGTATTTATTTGTTGTGGTTCCAATTCTTTTTCTGGGAATATTGACCTGAAAAAATGTATCCCGTTGGGCAACGTGAGTATTTTTGGTACTGAATAGCTGGTTATGCCATACATTTTAGTGGAGTGTGCTGTAGTATTGTCGTATTTTCGTAAGTTGTGCGTGCAGATAGGAAGGAGATGGTGTAAGGTCACTCTTTGTTTGGTTTAACAAGAATATGGGACCAATCAGTAAGTTTTTTGAATAGTTCTTGCACGCCACGGACATACAGTAACAACTTCTATCTATTGTGGTGTCACTTGTGATATGGTCATTGATTACAGGTTTGATGACCTTATAGAGTCTCTTTATGTGTACTCAGCCTTGATTAATTACACATTGTAAGGTCAACTTTTTGGGAATTTAAACTCTTGATTTGTTGAAATCTTTCATGCTATTTTTCCACCAATGTCAAATCATTGAATTGATAAATACTTGCAGTATAGGTTATTAGTATTTACAGTTAGTATGTACAGTATACAGTCTGAATTGGTTGTTAATATTTGTTATATTATTACACTTCTTTAAGTATGCAAACATCTAGCAGGATCATTTTCCTGTTGCAGAGTAATATATCATTTCTTGCAATGAAGGGCTTTTTTTTTCTTCTTGAAAATGCGATGGGTAATAGTTGAAGTGGTATTTATAGTAATTTGGTAAGATCATTGGTGATTTACTCTGAAAAGCAGTATTTTGCCCATGTAAATAATTTCTAAATGATATTGTATGAATTTGCCTCTTAGGTTAGTTTGTATTCGAAAAATCTTGGCACAGGTCAGTGACCTTCTTGACAAAGCTAGTTTTATTCACTTTTTGTATTTTAACGTGGTTAATGTGAAGATTGGAATTTTTTGGGTGATTGTGTCCCTTCAGTGGATCTATTCTTTCTGTCAACACAGGTTATCTAATCTTGGTATTTCTCCAAGTTGCAGTAGGGAGATAGATAGGAGATAATGACGTTCATATGAAGATATGTGATATGAAGTTGACACTCCCATGTTCATAATTTAACATTGTGTATATACATGTATTTAAATTAATATTGTGGTAGCTGTTGTGTTATGAAAATTTGTTAAATTAGAGGTGCCAGTTATGAGAAGTTGCTAATATCTTCTGTGATTTTTCTTTTCCTCTTATACTTCTGTGGGTTGATGCTTGCCGAGCTCATGAATCATGCCTATTATCGGTTTGTATTTGAGTAATTTTAAAAAATGGGAAGTGAATCATTGTACTGATTATTTTGTGCTCTAGTGTTTGTATGTTAAATTATTTAAAATTGAGCTAATGAGGGTAGATAAGTGTCATGTTTTGTAGAAAAGCTAAATGGAGGTGTGAAATTTTACAAAATAATTTCTGAAATCTGCCCTGTAAGGTCCAAAAGGAAAACAATAATTTAGTACAAAGATGCATTATATTATGCTTTGAGGAAATGAAAAATTAGTTGTATTATTTTTATGGTTGACCTAGAAGGCTGTTTGACTTTAGTTTGCTAAAAATGTGGTGTATTCTTCAGCTTGGAGGAAAAAAGAGAGAATACCAGAATTTCAGATCCTCAACCTTTCAATTTGAACAGCTCTTATTAGTTCTAGATAAATGTTTTTACAATTTTTTTTAATGGAACATACTTTTGTTAGTAATACTTCAATTATGCTTTTACCTTTATGGGTTTACCTCATTTATTTACTACAAGATATATGAAGTTTTGGCCTAAATATCTCTGGATATATTCTGGTTATATATGGTTGTGAACTTTTCAGAGATGGCTTGTTAGAATCTGTCGAGTTTGTGACAAATTGTTACTGTATTTGAGCTTAAAGAAAATAATGTTGGCACTATTCATATCTTGAAATTTTGGAGGGAAAAGTACAGTTTTCATATGTGTAGTGAGTCTGTTAATAAACTTTCACTACATATCTCCACTTTGAAATTTGTAAAAATGAACTAGATTATACGATTACTCTTAGTTCTAAATGTAAGAAAACAGATGTAATCCTTGTGCCTTGTTGCAGCTCCCCCACCTGGTCCTCCTGGCCCACCAGGGCCAGTGGGGCCTCCGGGGGCAGTGGCAGTCCCACCAGGTCCTTTGGGGCTGGTGCCGCCCCAGCAGCCTCACCAGCCCCCACAAGCTCCAGAACTGCCAAGTAAGTAATGTTTATCTATCCACAGAAAATTTTAATTAGCATTTACTTGTGTGAAGTTTAATTGTCACATGAAAACCAACAGAATTGGTGAAAGTTATTAATAATTTGTGACTTGTACTCAATCCGGTTATGTAAACAAATATTTTCACATTTATATACCAAATTGATTAACTTGTTGAATGGATAAGCATACTTTTAAAGGAAATTGGCAAACTTGTACGGGAAACTGTAATAATTGGGTCGTCATTCTGCCAAATGGAGAACGTGCATGTAAATCATTTGTTGCGAGAATTGAAGAAAAGACTTTCAAATGTATATTCAAAGAAATATTGTTTATGGGGATTGTTATTTGATTAAAAATCATCCAGATACAATGCAGGTAAAAGTTAGATTAAGTCTCTTTGTCACTTAATAATTGAAAGCTAACAGTTTGTTACCTTCAATGAACGATGCCTCACCTGCAATTTTTCTCTATTGGAGAACTCATATTAATATTGATATGCATTTAGATATGTGTATGAACTTTTACAACATTAATTTTGGGGACATTGAAACTAACTAAATCACTTGGCAATGGTATTCCTAATCTCTTAACTGCACTCACCAAACTGACACTTCCAAGGGCTTTTGATCTGGGGCTCTAACTTACTGGTGGGAAAATACAATTTGCTGGATAATGCTGTTTTTGGTGATACTAAATTGTTTTAGGATCTGTCAACAAAACTAAATGCTGATCTGGATAGCCTATAGATGTTGATTAATATTTAGAATTAGAGTTGCTTGTTTAGTTGTGATGGTAATTAGATTAGATTATTTCAATGAAATGGTCATACCATATGACATGGGACTTGTCGTTTTTATATAATACAGCACTATAATATAATGCAATGTAATAAAGAACAAAATGTACACGTAACAGAAGCATATTTAATAGTATTGCGACTTAACCCTTCACTACTAAGCCTATGGACATGCATTAGCGACAATATTTCATCCTTTTGTGCGATGAAGGTGCAATCGTTTGGCTTATAAAAGGAAGACCAGATTGTATGCCCCTTGTTGTGAGAATGGTTTATCGCTGACAGTTTCTTATCTTTTTTTTTTTAAATACACAGAATATTTTGTGCTCAAAAATCATAGATGCCAATGTGGAGTAAGTGGGTTTTATAACATTGTTTCTGTTTTAATAGACATTTAATTGCATGAAATACATTTAGAAACTTTTACATACTAGTACATATTTTTAAAATAATTTTGGAGGTAATTTTTTTATGTGTAATGAAAAATATGTTAGCGAGTCCACATAGATACCCTAGGCAGATGTGAGGTCAAATTTTGTGGTTGTCAAAGAAGTGTTTTCACACTATTTTTGCTTTAATTTTTCTGTAAGAGGCCTGTAAAGGATATCAAGTTCGGATGTTGCCATTGAACAGGTGGATGTAATTTATGAATGGAGAAGTATTGCAACACAAAAAATTAATTTTTCTGTAAAAAAAGAAATATTATTATTATTGTTATTATTACTACTACTATTATTATTATTATTATTATTATTATTCGGGCAGTTAAGGGTTAACACTAGCAGCATTTCAACTCACGACATCCGCTTAATACACCTTCAGAAAATTTCTCGCAGACAACCATTGCTTCCATATAAGGGCACCAGACTATATGTTATGAACATTATTGAAGTTCCACTTCTTGAACAACAGAATTCCTTAGCTATTAATAATATGCAAAGTTTTTATCAAAGATGACTTGGAAGATTCTCCAACATCTAATACTTTCACATCATGATGATTGAGATCAATAGTTTAGAGGTGTTATGACCAATCTTTAAAAGATACCCACTGAAAATTCAATTATCTTCCAGATACACATACATAATCTCTCTCATATACATACATAATCAACGCACATATGCATGTGCGGATGTGTATACAGCTTTAGCCAATAAGAACATCTACCTCAAATATTTTCTTAACAGATCAAGTTATTAAGATGAAATTATCACCAAATGATTCAAGACATAGCAGATGTTGTCATTAGCTTTTTTACAGACATTTTTAAAAGACATTGGACTTAGATATTTTTAAAGAAACAATATACAAAATAGATAGGTCTTATGGGGACAAAACATTATATAACAGCACAAGATAATGAAATAACATCAGAATAGCTGGTACTCGGAAGTTTGGGGCATGGTTCCAAAAGCACAACTGCCTAAAAGGCACAAGGCAGTGCGGTGAATTTCTCTTTCAAACAGTCTGCCGAGCTCCTTGTCATTAAATGTAGCAAGTTCAATTTTTGTCCAAAACAAAGTGATTTGGAAATCACTGGTATGTTTAATTAGTAGAATTGCTCCTCAAGCAAATTAAAAATCTTCAATGTTTAAAAGGGGAAGATATTTCTATTGTTCAATCCTGAATGCATATAACGTGTGGGTGTGTGTGTGGGGGTGTGTGTGTGTGGGGTGTGTGTGTGTGTGTGTGTGTGTGGGGTGTGTGTGTGTGAGTGAGTGAATATAAGATATAAATTCCAATAAGCATATAAATTAAAAGAAAAGTTCTCCAGCCATGTGACTGGTGGCTGTGGGTCAAATACCCCCCAAAGTTTCGATTTTGCCCAAAAAATCAAATTATCAATTGTTATTTCACGTATTCTCATACTGCGTGTACGAACTGAATTCTCATGGTGCTGGCACAAGAGCGACAGCAAGACAACTGCCATTAAATGTGTGTTATTCATGTGTTTCGTTATGAACTTTTTTTATATTTGTTGTGCTATGTATTCGTAAATACAGTAGTCATATTTGTAAAGACTCTTAAAATACTTACTAAAATACTAAACCCCCCCACCCCCCATTTTAATAACATAAAATCAACCCTATCATTTTTTTTTTTTCAAACAAACACTACATTAAATATAGCGGTATTTTATTAGAAAAAAATCAACTCACATAATCGCTGAAATTATAGAATTTTAATAGTATTAAAAATACTATGGTAATAAAATTAGTGTAACGTATCTACTAATTACGTATAACATCCTTATAACACGATAAACTTCCATGATTCATCAACGTATCACCAAATGTGCTTTTATCTGAAAAAATACACACTTAACTTTTTATGAACTAAAGTTCAGTAAATTAAGAGTCCTTTCACACAGACATTTTCATGCTATGACCATTCTCGCCTCTGACTTCAAATTCAGTCAAAACCATCTGTTCTATTCTTTCTCTCAGTAAATTTCATTTCGTTCTTGCATACATTACATACACTTTGAGACGCAAGCAAACCCACTTTCTGACACCACTGAATCACATTCAAACTTCCCTCTTGACGCAAATAAATAAATCCTGAATTCGTACCTTCCATCTTGGTAAACACACACAACTATTAAAAGGAAACTTGAAATGCCTAAAAAACACGCAAATCAACGGCAAAAAAGTCTTTACAATTTTACAATTCTTAAAATTATGAAGTAAATAATTTTATCGTCATAGTAACACGTATTATTAGGAGGCTGTTTAATTAGTAAATAGTGTAATCCCTTTCAACCACCAAGCAAACGTCTTATTTTGTACTTTGAAAGAGGGTTGTGAAGTGTAATGTGTCATGAAGAAAAAAAAATATTTTATAATAGCAAAATATATAGCTTTATATGGCATAGTCAAATTGTGTATATATTTATGCTTTGAATCAATGCCAGCAAAATTATTCTCTAGTGATTGAAGTGAACCGCGCAACTATAATCTTGTGAATCACGAGAACTAGTGAAACGAATCAATGAAGCAAAGAATCCGGTGGCACCCTGAACTCCGGATCAACCGCGAAGATTCTCAAGGATACATTCTTCATTCGGCGCGCGGCGACGGTGTAACGGTTAGCGTATCGAACTGTTGTACCGAAGTTGGCGGGTACCCTATCGAAGCCGTGGATATTTAAGGGCGAAAACATTCTTTTGTACGCCTTCGGAGGGGAAGTGAAGCCGGCTGTCCCATGTTAGTAGATTTACTTGCATGTAAAAGATCCTCAAGCCTAAATGACGCCTCTGAGCTAAATTCAAATCGCCTGTTCCTCGCCCAAGATGTACCTCCTTTCTTCGCTAGGTGGTGAAAGGAGCGTAGCGAAATTTCGTGGTCGAACGGAAGATCGGAATGGTCTGAGTATCGCCACTTAAAATAAGACATCAATTCAATTCATTTTAGTTTTTAATGTCCAGAACGCTTCATGGAGGAGTTATTTAACGATATAGATTCAAAAAATCCTGCTGAGAGTGTTATGAGTAAGAGAGAGATATTCTTTATGCAGGTAGATTTATACAATCTGGGGGAAGAATACTAAATTTACATATTACAATTAGGAATATTAATACAATAATTTTAAATTATTTTAAGTAATTTATTGTAATAACATATGGTAACAACATGATATGATACCAATGAAGACAATAACATTACCGCTACATTTTGTGGGTGCCCTGAACAGACATTTTAATTAATAAACACATTGTTTAGATATACTCCAGTTCACTTCTTTTTCTATTTCTCTTGCACTACACTTCACAACACATCATGACTGCAATTCAACTACTACTTTAAATATAATTATAGATTTAATAAAGCAATGCATTTAATAGTAATTACAATACTAATAATTAACATTAATAATTATAAAATAACTAATTTAATGGGCCTAACTTATTAATTAATAAAGTTTTCAAATATTATTAGTTAATATACTTTAAATTCTTTGTACAATTAGAGGAAAGGGTTCCATGGCATTTTATTCCAGTCCGTTATTGTTCTATTTGTGAAGGAACATTTTCCGACATTGTTCTGTGGCCTGTACTGAATTTTGTGTTAGTGATCCGCTCTACTATAAGTGTATTACAAACTGGTTGATCTCTTGCACAATCGCCCCCTCGCTGTCGTCTCCCAGCTCAACGCTACCCCGGGTCACACGGCAACGGCCAGCAACAATGCGCCTCTTGTG